TAAAGAAAAGATCTGGGGATGTTAGAATAAATATACTGAAAAGTTGCAAAACAATCGAATCTCACATGAACTTTCCAGATTCGCCAGAGAAATGTGTTTTTAACTATTCTAATATATCCTTCCTTGTCGGATATTCATTCAAATGCAAATCCTATCTCTTGGTCCGAAGTTCTCTACTATTTCGTCCAGAGTTAACGAATTAGACACAAAAGTTCAGTTTGAAAATCTCATGACTCAAACACATGACTTGCTTCCAACGTCTAGCGAAGATGTTGAACAATTTAAATCTGCAATACTTCATTGCTATTCCCAGTAGTAGTACCAAAGAGCGCAAGGTAGACAACGACGACAAATTTTATCATGCATGACAACTTAATGAATTGCTGAACAACAAAAACATCATAATACTGATTCGTCCAGACAAAGGACCAGTCAGGTATTCTTATTCTTAATCGTGATGACTAGACTATGTCAATAAACTAATTATGTACCATCCTTGTTGATGAAGAAAAATTTCAAAAATCACCTGACCAAAAAGACAAGACTATTGAGAAGGAATTATCAAAAACTTTGACGAAATTGAAGCAAGAATGAATGAATTATTACTTCATATATGTATGAACAGCTTAAACCATCTATCTGGTTCAACTATCCCTCGTTTATATGGTCTTGCAAAGGTGCACAAAGATGATGTTCCTCTGCGACCTGACCTGTATTGGATATTCTGAACTCGCCGTATCACTACTCTATCGTATCGCTAAATGGCTTGCGGAAATTCTGGAACCAGTTAGATTCAATGTATGTAAACATAGTCTTTCCGACACTTCTGACTTGACTTTGTCAGTTGCGTTGATGAAATTAATGTGACCGGTAAGCGCATATGATTTCGTTAGATGTTTGTTCATTGTTCACAAATGTGCCACTAGTAGACGACACTATCTGCTATCTATGCGAGTATATTGATTTAAATAGCATGAACATCGGCTTACCAACTGAATATCTGAAACAACAACTATTATTGAGATGCATACTGACTGGATGTGCAATTTAGATTTAATGAAGTCATCTACTATCAAAGGGACGGAGTCGCCATGGGGTCTCTTTTAGGACCGCTCTTAGCGGATGTCTTCATGGCAAGCTTAGAGAACAGCCCACTAAAGGAAACAACCATCGAGAGTGTGTTTATCCATAAAAGATATATAGATGATACCTTCATTGATTGTCTGTGAGGAAAACTCTTCTTCAACTGCCGAACTTCTTGGAATATTTAGTGGTTCTCACCACCCATCTTTGCTTTTCACGGTCGAAGAAGAGTCGAATTCCTCGTTTCACTTCCTTGACGTTAAGCTAGATAGAAGAGAGAATGGAACGCTGTTAAGGTCGATTTACCGAAAGCCAACATTCACAGGGCAGGCAGTACACTAACTTCAACAGTTGGGTACCTTTAGGGAGGAGGAAGAGAAATCTTATTCATTCCTTATGCTCCAGAATTCGTAAAATCTGCTCTATAGAGACAATCGGTAGAGAACTAGATAACCTTCGATCAAATCTCCTTAACAATGGATATCCTACAAGGTTTACTGAACGTAACATCAAGAAAGAATCCGTCCCTAGACAAATCACAGTACCGAAGAAAAAACTGTTTATGAGTCGTCTTGCATTCAAAGGTGACACCACTTCTGAATTGATTAAAAATCGTTTATCTAAATGTATCAAACGCTCTTTTCATGCAGCCGACGACTTGCATCTAGATTTTACCAGCCGAAATATGATTAGACAATGCGTCAAGGATAGATTACCGCTTATGTCCACATCTATGTGCATTTACTCGTTTACCTGCTCCTGTGGAGCTGGTTTATTTTGGACGTTGTAAGCGTACTCTCTGAAAACGTATAGCTGAACACTATCCGGTTTGGTTAATGAAAGGCGAACGTAGAACTGCGAAGTCGTCGTCTATTTGTGATCACCTGTTAGAGTCTGGTCATTCAGCCCCACGTGATTCATCCTTCAAGGTTATCTACATGGCAAAGTCGAATCGCTCCAAAAGTTTACGTTTTCTTCACTTATGCATGCATAGCCGAAGCTCTAGCTATTCATGAATAGAAACCTAAATTATGTGTCCGAAAACGTTTTGTCAAACCCCTTTCTTTAACTTGGTCATAGTAATGTTCTTTCTGGTTTTTATTTTATTTTATTTTACCACTTGAATTCATTCCACTTCACTTCACATCTTTATTCTTATCGTAATCGTACTCCTAATTTCTAAACCTTTTAGACAACGCTTGACATCAAGAAAGAAATTTTGATATCAATTCACTTATAAAACAATCTCTAATAATTTTGTAGTTCACCCACTTCAACTCTACCCCTTATAACATTTTAATTATCGTTATTCTTATCACATATATATGTGTATTGACTGAGCAATTATTTAGTGCCGCTTAGTAACTTTTTCTGTAATATAAATACGACTGTACAGCTTGAAAATGAAGTCGTTGAAAAGAATTTTCCCCACTGAACAAAAAAGTGTGTTATCGCTTATGAATAAATGGGAATTTTTCAGGAGTGCTTATTTGTTGGTCATATGTGGAGGGGAATTCACGTTGAAGAAAGAGCCTGTAAAGAGGAAGGCATTACAGGCAGACAGTGTGTAGTAGACAGATATCTGCCTGCCGTAAACAGTAACACCCTGATAAGTACTTCGATAACCAAATGAGATTAGATAAGATTGTGGTGTGAGAAGGAAAATTCCAACTGATATCCTCCTAGTTTATTGATTGAGATGATGTGTATTAATTTAAATGAACTGTCGTCAAGATTTGATAGAATTTCGAATAATTTCTCTTAAGAAGTTCGGACCCGATTGCCGAACGAAACTTTGGAAATACTCATTTCAATCTCTCTGAGATTTTACAATTATAATTTTTATAGATGTACATTCATGCTAATTCAATTTTGTATGTGTATAGCTGATCCTAGAAGTATCAAGTCGATAATACGGTCACTATAATAATTCCTTGATTGCAGCTGTGTTTTCCATATTAATTTTTACGTGGAAACATCCACGATTACATTGTATGTACCATTCATGGTTATATTTCTGGTTTTGTTAAAGAACAAACAGACAAACCAACAGAAGTCATCTCGGGCTATAAACAACAATGCGTCCACAACTCTGACCAGGCAAATCAAACAAGTTGGAGTACGCAAATGAGGTGCATTTGACATACGTACTTCTCTTCACATTAGATGCATTCACTGTACAAAGTTATCATTATTTTCCTTTCTTTTATATCTCTGTTTGTTTTGTGATCATTTACCTTTGAATTAATATGGATAATATATTAACTTGCTTTGCTGAAAGCCTTTTTAAAATCTATATTTTGTATTGTAGTTAATTAATTGAATAATTAATTAACTGATGAATTGGATATCCTGGAGACAGTGAAGATGTTTTCCAGTCTGCATGCAATTGGTAGATTGTGATAAGTTGAGATTACTTGCGAACCGCGAGCAGCAGTAGTGGTGTTAGCAGCAGCAAAGAAACATGAAAGCATCGTGCATTTCGGGAGTCATCAGATTATTCAATGTTGTCGTCAAAGTCGTTTGCTTCTATTTGAATTTTTCGACTTCCGAGTGGAATTGGGGGCTTCAAGCGTAAACTTTTAAGTTGTAGCAGGTGTAGTTTCGGTTTCACGTAATGAAGTTGCTAGTCGCACACTCAACCTTATCTGTTTCTTGGATTAAAGAGTGCGTCGAGCGGAGGTTGAACCCAGCCCAAATGTGCGTTGTTGTGAAATATTCTACTAGCGAACTACCATTGTAAATATTTTCTTTCCCTCATGTAGTGCACATTACAAAAAGCCTGAAAACTCTGCTGCAAACAGTTTAGCAGGTACTTTAGTAAAGACGGAACTTCTTCGGGTCCTATGAAACTTAGGCGCACTAAATATTACATTCTGATTACATTCGTACTTGTCATGCATACATCTCTGCTTTAGTACAGGAGATTTGTACCTCAGGTGGATGTGTTTAAGGTGTCTCTGAACTGGTTGGCTTAATAACGATGCTTTCACTATCCTTCTAGACATATATACCGCTAACTTCAATATTTTGGAAATGATTGGGAGCTGGACTATACGTTACATTTGTATTGTTGAATACTTATTTAGTTGGAAATATTGGGGACTTAAGTGTCATTCGACTTGAGATGTGATGCTACCAAATACTGAGGAAGTAGCTGCAACTTACATAATGAAGTAGTTTATGGACAAGCATTTGTAGAGAAGTGTAGACTGCCTGATTGTGGTCCTCAAGATGCTGAGATCCAATGTGTGGATACTGTTGGTTGGATGCGTCTCAGATAATACACTAGTCAAGGTGACTCTTCGCTCCGAATTTCACTGGAACTCTCTTCCCCATTCTTATCAGTCGGGATAATGAACTATCACATGAAACAATCACAGACTGTTACGCAACGCTGACACTGGTAATTCAGTTACTCTTGCTAATAATTCATCACCATGATCTTTAAGAACCTGTAGTGTTAAATCTTTAGGCCACACCGCCTATCGTATGGATTTGGTTAAGAGAACTTTCACAACCGTAGTTTGATCATTTTTCTAAAGAAACATTTCCAAAACTTGAAGCTGCTGCAGTAATGAAATGAAAGGTTTTTTTTTTCATTTTACTTCGGATCCAACAATTGCGCATTGGATACTAGCAATAAAGGGAATGCATTCAAGTTCGTAACACTGGATAATTTCGACACTCTATTTTAATGATGAAAGATGTCATCACCAACATTATAAACCTGCATAAATAGAAAAAGGTTCGAAGCAAATACAAAACAGAGGTATGCCATCATTGTTTTTGTAAACAAATCGGTATATTCCATCGAGAATGACCCTAAGTATGAAACATTCAAGAGTGAAATGGATTCTGCTTACATACACCCATTCTACCTGAAATCAGAAACCAGTCATCTCTTAGGAAAGTAAATGCATTTTTTCTTTATAAAAACAACACTAGATTGATTGTGTATCAAAAATATGAGAAGAATTTATCATATACACAAATAACAATCTCGGTCATCATCATCATCTAAACTCTTATTGGTCAGAAAGTAAAAAGTTGACATTTTTGATATATTCGTCTAGTGTATAATTAGTTGTTTGTGATAACAAATTCTCTTCTTCAATCCAAAGATAAGAATCATTTGCATCAAAAAATGGATTTTCACCTGTTTGAAATTGATAATTTTTCTCTACTGACAACTTTCTTCGACATTTATTATCGTTGGAGTCATCATTCATTCTCAATTTCATTTCCATGTAGTAGGCATGCAACATCATACGTTTTAGTTTGCAATCTAGGTGTATATTATGAGTTCTATAAACATCGTGCTTGTATTCTACATCAATATGGTCGAATGGACGACGTGCATAGGTGATATCTCCAGCGATTGGATGGCCCAAACCCACTGCACAGTGTACACGTAACTGATGTCGACGTCCAGTATTAGGAATAAGAAGTACACGTGTAGCTGGTTCACCCATCAATTAGCCATAATAACAAAGAATGATTGTAGTAGTGTGACATGTGCTACTGATAAGGTATGTGAGTAGTATACAAATACAGATATAAGTATGTATACCGTGTGTGAGAATAGCGAAGAGATGGATGTCAAAGATGCTTGTGGAACAACATGAAGGCAAGACAAAGAAGCACATTGCAGAAGACATTTGCGATCTCTGGTTTTAGCAAGTGGCTGACGTATTTTATCTGTATCTGTACGTCGTCACCAATTAATGACTCCGTTGTCAAGTACTCTTGTGTTCTGTTATTACATTTGATGTCGCCACCTGCGGACTATGAAGATTTCATAACCCTCAGCTATCTAAGGTGACATCATCGGTTAATATTACTGTATAACACTGTGATTTATCAAAATAAAATCTTATCTATAATGGAGGGACATATGCAGGTTATGCTGGACTTAGATGCCGTTGTGCTGAGGACGTCCATGGGAGGCCGCGCAAAGGCGGAGTATGACAGCGAGGAGAGGTCAGGTAGTGTTAGACCTGGAAGGGAATTGGTGGGGTTCAACTGAGCAATGGACAGACAGCAGTCCCGTACCATGAAACTGGGACCTGATGGAGAACCACTGGTACTGGCAGTGATGCTAAAAGTTTACTTCTTAGTGTGCTTCGCACACTTGATGAAGAGTCAGAGACGCTGCACTTGGCTTCTCAGTTTCGTGAAAGTGTCTCACGACATATTTCTCAAATTCTATGGCTGATTATTGCTGCACAGTGTATGGACATTGGTGAGCTCTCGAAGATAACCAGGCGACTACAAAGAACAACTGTAGCCGAAATAAAGCCACCAGAAAAGAACCACTGCGAACAGAAAATCAAAGATTCGCAGCTTGAAGTAGGGACGCTACGAATGGGCTCCAGAGAAGGCCAACGGTTTGCAGGTGGCAAACCAGGATATTAGAAAATGTACTCCCTGGAAGGACGGTAGAGAAAATATTCTAGACACTATAGTGTGTGTTCTTTCTCTCCCTTAATATTGTGTGTAGTGGGGGCAATCGAGTGGGGCACCATGTATTGTAATTTGCGAGTGAATGACCAAGGAGTAGTGTGTTTAATAGATGCAGGGATGGCAGCCTCACTAATACATAAAAATCTGTGTCATAGCATCAGGCCGTGTTCATTGATAGTTCAGATGGTAGGTGGACATGTGTTGAAAATCACAGGCAAGTCAAACTATAGAATTCACACTGGAGATCACAAAGTAACCTTCCCATTCATTGTTTTGCGTCAGTTACAGTTAACAATACACGAGGCTTATTTTCTGAGACAGGTTATTGCAGTTGTCATTACGAAGGAGAGGCTTATGATTACAAAGTATGGATCTATCATCATGCACGAGGACAGTGAGATAGGAGGAATGGATGCGTCGGAAATACCGAATATAACAGTATTAGTTAAAGAATACGACCATCTGTTCAATTCAGACGGAGACCCTTACTGTTATTGTGATCAGGTTAGGCATGTCATCCCGATGATGGGTCAGAGCCAACAGCCCGTATAGCTCTCTAGTCCTTTTAGTGAAAAAAGCAAACAGAAGCTACAGACTCAATGTTGATTTCCGACAGCCGAATATCATAACAGAACAGAGACCTTATATTATCAGAAACCCCAGATCGCCTACAAAGTGTAAATCTGTTTACAGTTCTAGACCTTTGGTCAGGATACTGACAAATACCGATAAAACAAGGCAACCGAGTTCATCGTGGGGCAGAAATAAATACGGTTTAAACTCATGCCACTTTGACTGACAGGTGCATCCTTTGCATTCAGGCGATTAATGACACCACTTAAAAACCCGAAGAAAGCAGGGGTACACGGTTATTTCGTCACATACAGTTAAACTGAAAGTGATCGTGTGGAACATGTAGAAGCAGTTTTAAGATGCACGGAAGAGTTTGGACTATGTATTAACAAGACAAAACTTCAGATGGCCAAAAGGAGTGCAACGCTGTCGTGTTATAAGAGTAGGTGATGGTGAAATAAAACCCGCTACCTGAGCGAATTCGTCCCCCCCCCCCCCACGAATTCCAAAAGAAAGCTAACACGGTCCTTGAGGGCAGCAGAGTCTTATATTCGGTTTTTGCAAGATTTCAACGGGACAGCAGCTTCTCTGTACAGGCTATAAGGTCAGTTGGAGTTGGTTTGGTCGGACGATTCTCTGAAAATATTTCACTGCACTAAACAGCCTCTACATCATCAGAAAATGACGTTGAAACTCCGTTTGCCTGGAAAACAATTCACGGTGTGCACAGAAGCGAGTGACCGCGGAATAGATGCAGTACTACGACAGGGTGAAGCAGTTGTCGAATATGCCAGTCGTGTTTTAACACACACGAAGCAGTATTCAACAACAGAGAACGAGTGTTCAGCAATATCATGAGCGGTAGACAGATGGGACCTTATTTACCAGGAATACGGTTCCACATCGAAACTGATTATCAATTTCTGAGGAGAGTGAGAGACCCACATGGGAAACTCAGCCAGTGGATGTTGCAACTACAGGAATACGACTTCACCATTGAACAATTTAGCAGCATAGAATATTTCTTATATATATAGGAATACGAAGTTGAGCTACCAGAGACTGCGTACGGAGTGCATGCATTAGAACAAGGCCAATTAAGACTTGCCCAGTCAGAAATCGGACACTGCCCTGCATACACTATCACAGCAGATCACTAACGGAATGGAACTAAGTCAACCTACGGGGAGTTAAACATGCAGAAGGACCGACTAAGATCAAACGCCCACGGAACTTTGACTTGGCGAGAGCACATAAGCTGGCTGACAGTAGTAACTCATTCACCATCAACATGAGGTGATACAAGAATGCCACTAGTTAAGATATACAAGGGCAAACAGAAAAAGAAATGGCAGAATATGCACTGGAATGTCCACAGTGCCAGTTGATGAAAGAAGATCGGTGCATACAACCGTCACTGCAGTCAATTCTAGTCATGGCAATAGGTGACTTGTAGTCCGCAGACGTAATGAGATCTTTTCCGCAGACATCCGATGGAAATCAATACGTCCTGGTGACGACTGAACGCACTACACGACGGGTAGACGCCATCACGACCCCGGATCAACAGGGATATATTTATTATTCATTATACGATTACAAATGTGTCTCAAATTAACCAAAATATACTAAACATTCAGTTATAACATGAGGTATCAAACATCACAATGTTGTACACACACGGCCAATGAAGTGAAATGGATTCGAGTTCAAGCTTATAAACAGGCAAACGTACATCACACAGTGTCCGAGAAGAAGAATATTCGCTACACATCTATGTGGTTAGAGGTAGGTGATTATGAAATCAGGAACATATGCATAGTTATATAACGAAAAGCGTACCGAATTGTTCAATAGGAAATGACCAGCAGTAATCCAGTTATGAGAAATGTTACTCATTCACTGATTTTAAGATAAGCTGGAGTTGTTTCAATGTGCTTCCTATGAACATATTCCTTAGAAGATATCTTGCTCGTTAATTAACAATAGTCAATTCTTTTCACTATATATGAGCTTTTGTCCTTCGGGAGGTCTTGGATACGCACTGTTGAAGAGTCCCTAAGTAGGATGAAACGACTGCCCATTGCTCCCTGGTTTTGAATAACTTCTCTAATTTACGTCGGTTCGTGACGAAATCTAACAGTTGGAATCAAATTACTACTATCCCTCTTAGTTGTATCGCGCGATTCCCGAAATTTTAATTCCTATCACTTTTACAATATTGTTACCAACTAACTGATTATTCGGTAATGAATTCGCATACATCTCGGTAGTACATTGATTCAAACATGTCAGTATGGGGCTTATGGAATTCAATTGTAAGTACTAAATAATTAAACCAACGTAGTAGTAATAATAATATTTGCAGGATAACACGATGTGATCCCTACTTCACATATGATTCTCTCCATAAAATTTAAATCTAAAAAGGTGAATAAACTTTTGTGAAATATATTTGGCAATTCTAAACAATAAGAACCCAAAACGAAACGACCTACGAACGCACAAACGACCTTGTCAAGGGCAACTTCGACCAATCAGAAGGCTTAACAAAAACGGCGCATAATTGTAAACAATCGTTTATATTTAAATAAAGCAATGTTGAAAAATAGTTACAGAGGATAACGTTCTTGTATATGTTGCAAAAAAGCTCCCAGTTTCTCATAGGAGTCTTTATACTCACGTTAAACCAACTTCTGTACATAAACTCATCCAGATAACTGTATATAATTGGATTTCTTGATCCATTCACGAATCTAATCGTTTTTTCAGGTAACTCCAGAAACTTTCGATTTTCCACGACGATACGTCTCTTCAGTACTGGTACCATTGCACTGCAGTTAATTCCGAATTTTCAGTATCATAAGCTGTTGCTGTAACTGGTCTGTTGAGTATCCAGAAATTGCAGATCATTAAAATTTTTGTTAATGGTAATTTAGACTTGGAGAAAAAAGTGCCTAAGGAATCTGTAAACTAAAAAAGAACGACATACCCTCTCGAACTGATTTTCTTTTTCGGCACTCACTACACCTGTACGCAAACCCATCAATGGACTTTGTGTATTTCTATATATGCATAAGACCTCCGCATTGACAAATTTTAGACCTTGCAATCAGTCCCTTATCCAAACAGTAATCAAAAACAAGCTCCGGAGCGAATTTACAAAGCAAAAGGGTGTAGAGCATCCATAATTACTTCTAGAAACAACAGAGTCACCTGAATGCTTTCTTAAGGTCGTTTCGGTTTGCGTTCCTATTGTTTAGAGTTGCAATATATTCATCATATGGAGTGGAGAAAAAGAGGAACGCACATATAGTACACAGAACTCAATAGTCATTTACAAGACAATCAGGACGATATTTCGGAATGAAAGAGATTGATAAATGCCTAGAAGGTCGTTTAGTAACTAAAAGAAAAGCTAAGTACAGATAAAGCCAGACATCTCAATTAAC